CCTCTAAGGGTTGCTTTGGGGCTTTCATTATAGGGGTTTATTTAAGGGTTTAGGGTTAGGGTTTTGAGTTCAGGGTTTAGGGTTTAGGGTTTAGGATTTAGGATTTAGGGTTTCTGGTTTCGGGTTGAGGGAACCCTCCCTCCTCTTGGAAGTATTTGCTGCCATGATTTACTCGTTTTGCAGCAGCTCAGAGACTTTGTTCCCTAAGGGTCCAAGGACACAAATAAGGGTCCAAGGACACAAATATTGGGGTTTTGGGAACCAAATACTGCAATATTAATGGTATTTGGGCCCCAAGACCCTATCATTTGGGCCCATGGACCCTTAGGGATTTGTTCTGTATACGCTGGGTGACAGCGGACTTCTCGCGCTTCGCAGGGTGTTGAGGCTCCGAGCAGGCTTTCTTCTAAGAAGCTTCAAAGTTTAGGGGAGGCTCTCTGAGTCTTCAGAAAGTCTCCCTACCTGGACCCTGGATGTCCTTCCTGTTTGAGGTTCTGTCCTACGTATTTTGGGTATATCCCCAAAAAAGTAGGACATCGAGGGTCAAGGTAGACAAAGGACCATCAGAAGTTGAGGTGTTTAATGAGGAACGAGCCCCGCGCTTTTGGAAATACCCATCGAGCCTTCTAAAGATGTTTTGAATTTCGGCAAGGACGGATGAGCTTGAGGTCTGGGGTTCTCAGGTTTGCGCTGCGGAGAATAGTAACGTGAGGCATGGGAAGACCAGGAAGAAGAGAAACACTTGGCGTCTATCTGAGCCCTGAACCTTGAACCGCTGGTGGCTACCCACGTCATGGTGGCTGCCCTTTCTATAGTTCTCCTCCGACTCCTCCCGGCCCGACAGCCGACCAAGCAGAAGTGCTGCAAGATTTTGAACACTGACTACATCCTCCTGGTAATGGTACAACATTCGGAATAGAGCCATAAACTCTGAACCTAACATGACATCGTAGCTTCCATTTACCCATTACAATAACCATGTACGCGCAGTATAGGGGAGGAGATTTATATGAAATCGTTCTAAGCTTCAGGGCTTCAAGGTCTCAGGCTGTGAGTGCCAACCCAAGGACATCACAGTGCGGGCTTCTGGTTCTAGGGTTCTGGGTTCAGGGTTCAGGGTTTAGCATGTAGGGTCGAGGGTTTAGGGTTTAGCTTTTAGGGTTTGGGATTTGGGGTTTAGGGTTCGGGTTTAAGGTTTCAAACGGTTCAGGTACTAGGGTTTAGGGATTAGGGTTTCAGGTTGTCGGTTTGGGGTTTTGGATTGAGGGTTTAGAGCTTATGGGGTTTAGGGTTTATGGTTTAGCTGCCTGATCCGTGGCAAGCCCTCTACCCCCAATCTCCAAAACCATAGATGATTTAGCTTCCCCAATTTTTTGTTTTGGGTGAAGGTCGCTCTTTTATCCAGCCCGGCTTTCCAGGTCAGCTGAGAGAACGCTAGCCCTTCTGCAACCTTATACTTTGAAGCCCCGCCCCCCAACCTTAAACCTCTAAACCTCCAACCCTGAAACCCTCAAACCTCCGAGTTCTAAAACCTTATAAGCCTATAGAATCCCCCTATATAACCTCTACATATACCCTATGACCCCTTTGTAGCCGCATATCCGAACACTGATTGTCTTGTGGGGGCCTCAGCGCAGTTGGGAGGTCGAAGTCTCGCTCGAGGCGCTCTGCCTCTTTTAGGAATTGGGTAAAAGACATGAAAACATTAGAGTGTAGATTGCAGGGCTTATGGGATTTTAGGAGTTTCAGGTCTAGTATAGGGTTGACAATGCAAGATTTGGAGTGCCATGTCATCTTTTGGGTGCGAAGATTGGGATTTCATTTTTGGCTACGATTGTAGAGTTAGGCTGTGCGTGTGGGTCGGTCAGGATTCGATTTTGTGTTTGGGGTTTCGTGGTTTCAGGCCTGGGGATCAAAACTGCAAACCTCAGGAATCAGGGCGTTGGGCTAGGGGTGGCTAGCTCTCCTGCTTGGAGATGTTAGGTTGTAAATTCTGTTCAGCAGCTGTAGAACTCTAGGGCAAACTTGATCATCACCTCCCCTGGTAATGAGAACCTTCCCAAACTTCCAGATGAAAAGATCCGATATGAGGCCATATTTAAGACTTGGTGGTGCGGCCGTGCAAGCGGTTTAGGGTTTAGACAACTGCAATCCCTCTGAGGGACAATCACCTTGTTGAAAGGAGATGACTAATATCGGGGCCAAAGTACTTACCAACATCATGCTCAGGTGTATAGGGTTACGGTTGAGGGTACAAGGAACCTGCAACCCTAATATCAGCAGTTATGTAGGCCTGGGTACTGTGGCAGCGCGAGGCGTCTTCTTGCTTGCCATGATTACTTAGCTAGACTGTAATCGCTTGCCTGAAATTCCGGGAAGCCTGAGGCTATTCGCGCCTCAGCACTGCGGGAACTGGATTGCCTTGCTCCTGGATTAAGGATCGAGGCCGTGGCAGCTCTTCGCGAAATCACGGTCTCAGGCACAAGCAGGTTTCAGAGGTCAGGAAGTGTGTGGGGATGGGTGGGGAGGGTTAGCGAAGGAGGCATTGGGAACTAGTTGACCTGCCTCGATGGGATCGTCCCAGCTGTTCGGGCGCCATGGCTCAGTGGATTGACTTCCTTCATTTTTTTTCTGGCCAATGAATTGCATGTGAGGATTTGAGGCCGGCACGACTCGGGGATAGAGCCGCGGCGGGACCTTCCTCTTGTTGTGGAGGAACTCGTAGTATCCGAAGGGGTCAGTCCACGTACAGCCGTGCCAGCGCATCTTAGCCAGGTTTAGCTACACACGAAAGGAGCTCTGTTCGGGCAAGGTGTACTGATAGAAGGATTTGTTTGCATGAAAGACCTAAGAGGGAGGCAGCGAGGTAGTGAGCGTGTGTAGGAGTTACGCGTTTCAGGAATGAGATCGAGCAGTGATACAAGGAGCACGCACAATGTGGTTTTGAGGACGCCACTGGTTTCCTCGCGGCACTCACATCCTGGGCGAGTACACACTTTTTATTTGTTCTCACATCTGAACTTAGGTCGGTTTGCTGAGCTGGCAGCTTCGCATGCCATTGCGCGGCTCTCCTGAGCATGGCGTGTCCCAAGACTGCGCAGTAACTACATGGAATCGCGTGGCCTGCTTTTCGAGCTGCTTCTCTCGGCGATCCTGGCTGAGCTTGATTCCATCTGCTCATTCAATCACCCTTCGATGCAGCAATCATCGTGCCTGACGCATCAGTTCGTAGAACTCCACGTGCTGAGGCAAGTGGCAAGTGGGGAGTGTCAAACTGCAGTGTTGAACGCGCTGGGCTCTGGACTGCCGCGTGGCGCTCTTCGATCTCTGTTGCCGTCAGGTTGGCGCCCCACCAGTCCTGTCGGTGCTGAGTTTGACGTGTGTTCTAAGATCAAAGTGGCAGTTCCTGGTCTTGACCTTCCAGGATCCGGACCCGTTCGGCCTTGCATGGACATGCATCGTTCATAGTAGATAGCATGTTGGCAAGTATACCATGATTCTGTTGTGGGTGCGGACCGTGGTGACCTGGGCTAGCTCTCCTCCGCGGCGACGTTTGACAGAGCGGCAGTAGCCGCAGATTCCCCGCATGGAGATGCCCTCCTGGCAGAGCGGAGATGGACAGACTACATGCGGTGTTGTTGCGCGTGCCGTGCGGCCGCAGTCGACCGTCTTGCAGACTTCCACTCGCTTATACGGCATGGCCTCTGGGTCACCGACGGGGCTGTTGTTGCTCATGCACTCATACACGGGCAGTCTTTTAGTTGTGTCGCTATTGTGTTACTACCAGCGGTATTCTGGTGGATTGTGAATGTGGCTATATTCAGGCATGCATTGGCAAGTTTCAAGTCAGGCCGGCACCGGTACGAGGGATTTAAGTTGGAATTCCTCAAAAGAATGCCTTCGCAATCCCTCAGGAGGACGACCCCGTCAAAGCCCCTCTATGTCCAAAACCTGATATTCGGAGCAATTCTGACTAAACCGTAAGCCCTGAACCTTAAACCCTGAAGCCTAGAACCCTAACATCTAAAGCCCACCCTAAACCCTAAACCCTAAAACCCTAAAACCCTAAGCCCTAAACCTTAAACCCTAAAGCCTAGAACCCTAAACCCGAAACCCTAAACTCTGAAGCCCTAATCCACGATTGTCCTTGGAAGCTCGCGTAGCTCCGCTTTGCTCGGGGTCTCAGAGCTTTTAGGGTTTAGGGTTCTAGGCTTTAGGGCTTAGGGTTTTGAATTTACACTCCCCCAAACTAACAAGGAAACCCATATAGCCCCACTTTAGAGGGACTGTAGTTTTTTTAGGGCCCCTTTTTGGGTTTCCATCTTAGTTTCCATCTCAATTTGGGTAAATCCCCCACCCAGTAATGGGTA